ATTGCAACAACCAGTGCTTCAACTTTGTAGTGCAAAAGATGGTGATTACATTCAGAGCTTATTTGGACTATGGAAATGATAGCCAGTAATTATTCATTTGCATCATGTCGTGATATAAAGGAGACAATCAATGCCAAGTGTGCAGACAATTTTCCAAAATAATTCTCATTGTCACATCAAAAAATGAGATACTTAATCACAGAAGCTTTGGCCCCATTTTTCTTTGATCAAATGGTAGATGATGTACAATGGTCATATTATAGCGTTTTTTATGATGAGACATGCAATATAGAAGACAGAAAATAACTGAAAATACTGATTAGATACTGGTCAGAGGAACAACAGGAAGTTGTCTGCAGGTATCTCCAGACCTCATTTATCAGGCATGCAGATGCTGAAACAATTAAATCAAAAATAATACTGGCAATTGAAGATGCATATCTATCTTTTGATAAATTACTGATGATTGGATGCAAAAAAAAGTATTGCATCTCATAAATGAGGAAAATTTTGACAACTCGCAAAAAAGGCCTCATCAATATAGGGTCTTGCAGCATTCATACAATCCACAATGCCTTTTTGAAAGGCCTGAAAGAGTTGGACGGAGACAGTGGTGATCTCATCATAGTAACACAACTTTTTTGATGAGTGGCCCTTTAGGTGGGTGAATACACAGAAATTCAAGAGAAACTTAATTTGCCATGCAACAAATTTATGAAGTTTTCATCAACTAGATGACTGACGTTTGGTCCTGCATCAAAACGACTGATTGAACAATGGGAAGGACTCATATTATACTTCCTAAAGCGCATTCCTCAAGAATTCCAGCTTAATGAATAGTGTTTCATATAAGATAATCTCAAAGTCATTGAAGTGTTCTACCATCAAAGCTGAACTCTATATGGAAATATCTAGTGCTGAACTATTCACAAAGCTTACTGCAAATTTTCTGTGCAATGATCCTTTAATACATAAACTTTTTAGTGAATTGCTTACTCTGGTGTGAAGAAGAGGAGAAGTGCAGAAACTGCAGCATGACTTAAACAAAAGAAAATCATCTTTAATTACAAATTTTTTAACAAGAAATAAAAAAATGTACCTTGAAATAATTGACATTTGAAATTTGACATGTTATATGGAGACCCATTTCCTTTGTTGTATAACGGTAGGAACTTTGTACGGGGCACATGAAAACTTAATGCAGTCTTACTGGTCNGGCTGGAAAAATAGCCTAGGGCATGCAACATTGGATGGAGGATCGAGGCGTCCTGGTAGTGTTAAGGCTATTCCTGGAAGTGCTATGATTTTCTTTGCTCTTCGCAGTACTGCTGTTGTTGGGTCGCTGTTTATCTCCACAGAGCATGATTGTAACAGAAACTCATTGGCTCTAGCGATGAAGTCATTTTCTCTGCACAAAACAAATCTTTTGTCCTTGTCCGATACTAAGAGCCTCAGATCGTTCTTGGCAAGGAATTTCGTTACTGCTTGTTGGTTTTTGCGACTATTTGGTGCATCGGAGATGTGCTTTGTTGTAGCAAGCTTTGTGATGACTTCTAACTCCATTTGCTGGTACATTGGTGCAGTCTGGCAGGCTTTTAAAGCTGCTAAGGTGGCTGGGACTAACTGGTCGAAATCCGATCTCATAGGATGTGAGATGTACTTGGGACCCCGTTCCAGTGTGTTATGTACGATTATGGGTACTTGCTCTTTTGTATAATTGTAATATGGAGTGGTTACTACTGCTGCTTTTTGCGTACGCGTCGAATTGAGTAGCCACTGGAGCTTTTTGTCCAACTTCTTTTAAATTTTCTGCGTGGAGATTGATGTTATACTTTGCACTTTGCCCAGTTGAACGTACAACGTGGAGGGGTCACATGCTTTGGAAAAATACAGATGAGCTACGTAGGTTTTTTGCTCTGCTTCTGCAAGGCACTTGCGTTTGTTTCTAATTAGCTTGGTCAAAAGAGACTGCTCTACCTTCGGAATTATCCCTCGTAAACACTCCGGAAATTTCTTGCGCTTAAGCTGTATGCACTTTGGAACTACTCTTTTTGCTCTGCATTTCAAAAGAAATTGTAATTGGGCAAGTAATCTCCAGCTGTTTGAGATATTTTAGATGGGATAAAGTCAACGTCTTAGAAAAATCGGGAATATACGCAGTGCAACTGGAAAATCCAATAACGGGGACAATTGAGAAGTATATAGGGGCAACGACAAGAATGCTCGCTTGCCGTATCGCGGAACATCAAGATGATATAAACAAAGGAAGACAGACCACAGAGCTCGCCAGAAAAGTTCTACAGCAGGGCTATAACCTGTTATGGTCAAAAACAGCGTTGCTCAGGAGTTGTAACAACAGAAGAATTACATTTATTTGGGAAGCGCTCCTTACAATGACCACAGACGCATGCAACGTCCCCACACTCGACTTGCCCGAAATATGGGTTACTTTATACCAGCGTTTAAATAGCAAAAAGCGCCAAGAGTCGCACAATTAGTACGATCGCTCCTCAACGCATGCGCTGCTAGTCGTGTGGATTTAAAATATTTCGAACTCCAGCAAAAGCTTGTTGCACGTGACCAACGGAATTACCGAACGCTATAATTTAGAAATTGACAAGAAAAATTTTCCGTTTTCTACTTGGAACATTCTGCACGTTCTAATTCAAATTTTGTTCTTTTTTCGCCTGAAGACGACGATATAATACTCGTCGAAAGTACTTGCGATACAAGAAAAATCGTATTAACGCTGAACTCAGTGTTTTTTATCAAGAAGGCTAATGTTTTATTTCGTCTTTAATGGTCATCATCAGGTTTCTATGCTTTGGAATGTTTGTAAAAGAACGCGTCTTCCAAAAATTTAAAAATTGCATGTCTTGAAGATACACGCAAGCTCAATGTAGCTCTTTAAAAAATGAGTCTTCAAACTGGCTTCTTATTTTAAAAATTTGATGTTTATATAAATTATAAAGATAAACTTGATGACGATCTATTTTATATCAAAATATGCCCTCCCCACAGCCACCAGTGAGTCAATTTCCTTAAAATTGGTGGCTGTTCTCTTCTTGAACGCTTTAAATATCTCCAGCTGTTTGAGATATTTTAGACTGGCCTGGTCCTTGCACCGTTTTAATAATTGTGCATTATCAAAGTCCACCCTGACATCATTATCAATGGTGTAAGAAGCCAATGCTATAGTGGAAAGACCTTTTTGAATGGAGTATTTATGTTCTTTGATCCAGGATCAAGGAACATAAATACTCCATTCAAAAAGGTCTTTCCACTACAGCATTGGCTTCTTATGCCATTGATGATGACCGTTAAAGATGGAAGAAAACATTCGTTTATAAGAGAATTAATGATGGTTATAGATAATTGCTTATTTATTTATCTTTTAATATTTGTGAACTGCATTTTCTGCTGTTTTCACTCATCTGAATATCATCATTGCAATCTTCTTTGAAAAATTTTTGAGTTATTTTGGCATTATACAATTGTTACAGTTAAAGCCAAATAGCTGTCAAATTATTGGGCTATAATTTGGCTATATAATTAATTAAATACAAAATAATTTGTCTAGAAATAGGTAGTTATGCTGCCATCTTGTACTAGATTTAATAATTATAATAAATTATATTAAAATTTAGAATTTTCTGAAAGAAAGGTGTGATTATACCTAAATTAATAGTTCTGGAAGTGAAGATTGCTCAAAGGTTTGTGTAGTGTAATTGACAATGTATCTGCATGGTAAGTGGTAGTTGCAGGTAGGGTTTCTCATTTCCTGGGAAATTTGCCTCCAGCGGGATTACGGGAAAAATAATTTCTTTTCCCGGGATTCCGGGAAATTCCGGGATGAGATAGTAAAATAGAATTTTATATGAATAAAAAAGATCATACAGGAATATCATAAATTTGAATAATTTAATTTATTTTCTAGTTAGTAACTAAAAGTGTAGGGCCAATTTCACCCATACGGACACGTTAGGCTCAATTAATTTATGTTCTCCTACATTATAAGATGAAAGTAAAATAAAGCGTTTCATTGGGAGTTTTAATGATTACGAAAAAAAAATACTATTTTACCTCTAAAGATGAAATAAAACAAGTGTTTTTCAACCTGTGGGTCGCGACCCCCAAGGGGGTTGCAAAGCCTTACACGGGGGTCGCGGGTAAAAGAAAAGACAAGTGTTTGTAGGTCCTACACTACAATAAATAAAACTACAATTTCAGTGAGAAGGCTTTGCGTTTTTATTTTAAAGTACAATTGGTTTTTCGATCGATATTTAGGTCTCAACAGAAAGAAAATTAAATACGTAGTTTTTAAAATCACTGATATAGTTTTAATATGGCCCTGGGGGTCGCCAGAATTTTTTTAACTTGTAAAGGGGTCGCGTATTCAAGAAGGTTGAAAAACACTGAAATAAAAAATAAAATTAAAGTGCGATGAGTGATATTTACTTTCAGCAAGTCTCCGCTGCTCAATGCGCAAACACAATACATAGATATTACATGAACTAACAAGTAGAGACTTGTAAAACATAGGTAGTAATATGCAGCAAGAAACCTCAAAATTTCTCTCTTAGGTGAGTCTTCAAGATGCAACTTTTCATATAATAAATAATAGAAAGAAAATCTGACATGATAAATTATTAGTGAAATGCGAGATTTCCCGGGAAAATAAAATTTCCTGGGATTTTTCTCGTAGGGAATAAATGGCGAGAATCCCGGGAAAGAAACCCTAGTTGCAGGTTCAAGTCCTGCTCTGGACCTATTCTTGTCTTCCAGAAAATTCTAAATTAAATAAAATATATTATTTAATCTAGTGTCAGATGGTAGTGTGTGTAACTTCCTACCTCTAGACAAATTACGTAATTGTTACATATAAATTTTTCTATATGTTTGATTTGAATCATAACTTCATTTATATTTCTTCAAAATTTTTTAATGTAGTCTTAGAACAATAGTAGCAATAAACTTAAGTTAATATTTTGATATTGTAGGGGATGAACCACAATCCTGTGTCCTAATCAAGTCATCTCATCCTATGAGTCCTGGCAAGAGTGAGTTTTGAAGTTTATAAAGTTTTCAACTTGCTAAATTCTATTAAAAAAAATTCTTATTTTAAGTTAAAGTAGAATATATTATATTTCATGTTTATATGCAGTTGAATGTGCTATGTTTTCTGATAAATCTGAAATCTCAAAAGTTCAAGTAACAATTTGTCAGTTTGACCCCTTGATGCCTCATAGAATGGCATATCTGGTGGTCAATTAATTTAAGCACCACTTGTCTATGTTTAAAGAACCTTATGTTTTTTCAAAAACAAAAAGTTTGCTTGCGTTTCAAGGCTCTACAGTACAGTACAGTACAGTACAGTAGCTGAAGTAAGATTGACCCTTTTCATAGCGGTTAGTGATGCAGAATGGTGTCTTAAGAGGTAGCTAGTCTGAACTCTGTCCTCTTCTAGTGCTGAAACAATGCTTTTGGAGGCCTATGTTTATAGGACATTTTTGGATCATCTAGGCCTCTAGAACAAGCTGTAAAATATTTCTCATGAAACACCTGTAATAAGTTTAATAGAATCAAAGGTGGAAGTTTAAACCACATAAAAATATACCTTTGAGCACTTTCCAGCAATATTTTTTCTTTTATGGCAAATGTTTTTTTGCTTCCTTGATAATCCTCCCTTGAATGGAACATAATATGTACATACAGTATAGTTATGTAAAGTAAAATTAATTTATAAGTAATTAATAAGTGAGTATATTGGTATTGAAACTTGTTGGGGATATGTAAGTTTTATAAATTAGTTTTACATAACTGATGACACACATTTAAAATAAAGTACAGCTGTCCCTTGATAGTCCGATGTTTTGTAATCCGACATGCTCAGTAGTCCCATCAAGGTACCCGTTCCCATTGCGTGTCTGCTTGCACAGAAGCATGTTGCGATGTGAATCTCCCCACCCAATTCTTACACGATGACACATATTCCGTGTGTTTTCCGTGAGCAGTTCTGTTAGAACAATTGGAGTAGGAAATATTGTAGGCTACTGCTAGCAAAACAATGCCAAATATGTAATCACTTTCAGTAATCCAGACACTTTTGGTAATCCGACATCCCTTTGGTCCCATACCTGTCGGATTATCAAGGGACAGCTGTATTTAATCAGTGCTTTCACTTGTTACATTCAAGTTGCTTTAGAATATATGAAAAACTTAAATTAATTAATTTAAGATTCAAAATTTTTGTCTTTTTCATATTAAAGTTTACAGATCATGGAATAATCCAAATATCTGCTTTGATTGAGTAATAGTAATGACACATACCCCCTGCAATAGCACTGTTAAACAGTGCAGTGGCTGAATGAGTGGGACTGTTCTGAATGAGTGAGAGGTGTGAGGATGACAAATGATTAGTCACACCTTCCACACTATTTTCAACAAAACAGTTCAATAAAAATTAAATGAAACAAATATTTTTGACTATGTTAAGAGGCCAAAATCAAAGTGCATACACACACTTTATAGAATAAAGTAACATACAGGGTGATCTTTAATTCATGCAAAACTTTAATAACTTGTCAACTATATGAGATAGAAAGAAAATTCAAAAAGCATATTATACAAAATTTATTGCCATTTAATGAATTAGGTTTTCAAAATGACTACCTTTGCTTGCAATAATAGTTTTTAACCAATTTTTGAAACATTTAATAACGGTAATAAAGTTCTTTTTTGGAACTGCCATTATTTCTTTTTATCATATCTATCAACTCCTCAATAATTGTAGGAGCATTGCGATATACTCTGTCTTTAAGATAGCTCCATAAAAAGAAATCACATGGGTTTAAGTCACTGCTCCACACCTCCACCCAGCAGAATTTTCATAATCTAATCTTATTACACACTTTTCAAATGTGTTGTAAAGGCTTTTGAACACTTGCTTTGTGCAGTGGGACCTTGCACCATTTTGCATAAACCAAGCATGATGATTTTGCCCACAAGCATTTTGTGGTAAAACTTCTTTTCCAATCCTTCAACATATGCAGCAGAAGTAATTTCTTTTCGAACAAGAATATTGCAATAATTTTGCTAGCACTGATAGCTTACCAATTAGTACATTGATAGAACACCAATTTGAGAATTAGAATTTTTATGATAATTCTTTACGATAAACACATGTTGTTCTAAAGTTGATTGATGTTAACTTTAGAACAACATGTTGATTAACCACTCAATTTTCATTATATGGGCTAAGGTAATAGAAAATATGTTTTGAAAATAATGACGTCATAAGTACAGTACATTGGCAATATTCCAAATTTGTATTGTATTTAAATGCTTGATTTCAGACTGTTAAAACCTGAAACAGGCCATTTAATGTAGCCAAAGATGTTCATTTTGTTTAATTTTTATTAAACTGTTCTGTTGGAAGTAGTGTGGAAGGTGTGACTCATTATTAGTAGGTTCTAGGTCACAATGTAGAAAACTGTGGAAAATCATCTTGGGGGATTGCATCATACCTTTTAACAGTGCTGTTGCAGGAGGATATGTACCAAGCAACTGCCCTAAGTTGTTTTTATTTTATGAACTGTTTTGATTAAAAAAACTAATTTTAATCGTGTATAATAATATATATAATTACTATGTAATAAAAATTGGGATATTATTTTGCGAGTTTATTTTTTTTTTTTTTTTGGAGGTGCTACAATTCTGCAGTGTCTATCATGAGCTGCTGCTGATATCTGCAAACCTGTTCTCAAGAAATCATTGAATTTATGCATATATGTGTACACACATATTTACAGTACCTACCTCATGAAAAACTTGTAAATAAATTATAGATCATTGTTTTTATAATATGAAATAATGAAGCAAAAATTTCTTCAAATTTGAATTACAGTAATAACCCAAACTTACGCGATAGGTGGGACCGAGCGATAACCGCGTAAGTCGAATTTGCGCAAGTCGGGGTATAATTTCACAATTTGTGTAAAATCCAAGTCAGACGTATGTAACCTGATAAATGTTCTCGTTAATCTTATCTCGTCTTTTGATTCGTTTACGGTTGCAAGAAATCACCATATAGAGTCTCTCAAGTCTCCGTAGATGTAACAAACACAGAAATAAATAACACAAAATAAATTGTAGCTATGTATCGATTTTGCACGACATGTCCGGACATGTAATCCGAACAATAGTTTGGCTTACATGTTCGGACGTGTAAACGAATAGTGTGGGGGGAGTGAGTAATCAAGAATTGCGTGGCGCTCAAACAAAAGACGAATCAACAAGATTTGAAAATTGCGTAACTCCGCGTTCGCATAAGTCGAGGTATTACTGTATATTGATTAAAAATGTAAAACTATATATCTGTTATGTATTTCTTGTAGTAATATTACATATATATCAGGGGTGGCCAACCTGCGGCTCGCGAGCCACATGCGGCTCTTCGAAGGATTATTTATGGCTCTCGATAAATGTACTGTACCCAAGTTCCCTTTTTATTTTTGTGTTATTATATTTTAAAAAATTATTATCATCCGTATGTGTTTCAAAATGTCTTTTAAATTACTAACAACAAATATGAAAGACTAAGTGCAACGTTGTAACAAATTTCATTTCCGTCCAAGTTAAGAATGATATGACTCATCGAAAACTGCGCAAACGAACATAAACAGTGGCGTAATCGTCTGTTATCGACCGACTCCACACCAATTTTGAATTTGTAAACTGTCATTGCAATGGACAGTTGACATTGTGCTCTGGAGGAAACAATTTGTATCACTCTTGCTACAGATATATTTTGAAATCTGGAATTTTTTGCATACCTTTAATTGCGGCTCGCGAAAAATTTCAAATTTTGAAAAATGGCTCGGACTATCAAGGAGCTTGGCCACCCCTGATATATATAGTAGTTAAGTTACTTTTTAATAATTTACAGTAGACCCCCCTATAAGGCTTAGATACGTTCCACGCTAACCGAAAATTACGTTGTAGGAACGATTAAATACATGAGCCAATCACAGCCCGATAGGTGGGAACTTTACGGACTAAGGCTGTTTGAAAGGTTTTCTTCTATAAAATTAACCGATTCTAGACTAATTCCACTCAACATTTCCAAAATACGTATAATTTTGAAAATGTTGAGTGTATAAACTATGCTATAAACAAAAAATTATAGGATTACTTACCGAGTGTGTACCGTTCGACTACGCCCGTTGTTCAAAGCTTGTCTTCGTCGCGGAACAGCACACGAAACGGCGGCCGCGATTTCTGATAACGAATTTTTCGCAGAAAAATAACTTGACCTTTGGAGACATCATTAATATAAATAATTTTTATGGCCGTTGAATAAGAAGTGTTTCTTTCACAAGAAATGTATAAAATTAGTGCTGTATTAGACTTACGGTACCTAATTTACATACTGTGCAGACGATAATAAACTCAACTTACTAGCCTAAAATCTCCGTAGCGTGTTGCCAGGCGGCAGAAAGCATATATATAATTATAATAAAGTTACAATAAATTAAGTTAATATATAATTATATATACAGTACCTAATTTATATATAATTATATGTACAGCACCTAATTTATATATAATACTGTACAGACGATAGCAAACTCAATTTAGCCGCTCTGTAGCGTGGCGCAGGGTCGGAGGAAAGTAGTTCGGCTGCTCATCCACTATTGGTCCAGACTCTATCAATCTTGTCGCGAAACGACGTTATAGGAGGTATTTTATATGAAAGTTTCTACAATTTTTTCGCTACGTTATAGGAATTGTCGTTATAGGAATGTACGTTATAGGGGGGTCGACTGTAATTCTATAAATTTAACATTTAATATCTGCTATTAACTGTTAGGTAATTTGTTAACTTCTTTAAAAAATTTAATTAATATAATAAAAATGTATTAATTAAATTAAAATTTTTAATGATGTTTAATTTTGTTCTAATATTCATTGAACAGTTACAAGTACTATAAAATATTTTAAATTAAAATATCTATTTCAAGGTTATCAATTTTAATACCAACATCTGATAATTTTGTTA